CAGGCCGATTTCTTCAAGTGTTTTCCCTACACTAAATTTAGTTATATTTTTACCTTCAGACGAGGTTTTAAAGCACTTTGTAGTTCTCTATTGCCAACAAGTTAATGTTTATGTGTTGCCAATTCTTGCAGCTGCTGCCCTACCAAACCTGTGGGTTGCAAATCAGAATGAAAATTCTAAGCAGCTTTCAAAGAGGAACATTTCTGTTAAGACCCCCTAATTGCCTCTTTGAGCTCATTATGTTTCTGAGACTTTTTATTTATTTATTTGTTTATTTTGAGACAGAGCCTCAAGCTGTCACCCTGAGTAGAGTGTCGTGGCATCACAGCTCACAGCAACCTCCAACTCCTGGGCTCAAGTGATTCTCTTGCCTCAGACTCCCAAGTAGCTAGGACTACAGGCGCCTGCCACAATGGTATTTTTTTACAACGCCCGCCCAGCTATTTTTTGGTTGCAGCTGTCATCGTTGTTTGGCGGGCTCAGGCTGGATTCAAACCTACCACCTTAGGTGTATGTGGCCGGCACCTTAGCCACTTGAGCCACAGGCACCGAGCCTTCTGAGACTTTCTAAAAAGGCACTTTCCCCATCACATTGTAGACGTCTGCATTCTTATCAGAAATGTCTAGAAATGTTTAGCTTTATAAACATTGTGCTGAAATATGAAAATGAGCCTTCTTGACAATTAAGTGCTTCTTGCAGCAGGTGGTCAAAGAAAAGAGTGACTAGTATGACCGTTAGAGTATTCTACATCTGGACCATTCCTGAAGTTTTTCCTCACCAACAGTACCATCATGCCTTGCTTTTCTCCCAAGTGCTATTCCTTGAACACAAGAATTTACCAGTTGCCTAATTATGCAATAAAAAATTGCTTTGAGACAGCTAATTGCCCACAGAACAACCTGGTGAAAAGCAACTCAAATTGCTCATAAAATATGTTTCTTCCCATGTTCCCATTTGATGAAATGTCTTAAGTTACATTAGCTGGGAAGTTTTCAGACATTTTCAAAGGATGACAATTGTGTTAGCCAGATGAGTAAGCTTCTAATATTCATAAGTTCTGAATGCCTCATAGTGAGGGATATTAAAGTTTTTATATAGACACTGCCCTCTAAATAGTTCCTCAGATCTCTTGAAGAGTATAGTCTTCGTCCTGAATATATAGTGTTGGCCTATGTTTAAAAGGGTGATCCAGACATGAAAAGCAACTAGTTGGTGCATAAGAAGGCCCTACTTGGCTATTTCTTATCTACCTACAATTGATAAAAAAAACTTTTAGGCCAGCAATTATTTAGCTTCACTCCTTCAAGTGCAAGAAACTGAAGGCAGGATTAGTAGTTCATCAGCTAAACAGTCATAAAACAGTCATTGTGCATGTTAAATTTCAATAATAAAGCAAATTCCAATTTCTATTTACTTATTCATTGTAACGGTATTACTAAACAGGTAAAGATGGGAATATTTTCTTATACCATTTATAGTGAATGTATTGTACTGTGTCTGTGAAAACTGTGCTTTAAATTATATTTTCATATGTTTTGTTGGGGACAGAGCAGATAAGCTCGAAAGCAACCGAGTTTGTTTTAGAACTGAAGACAACTTTATCAAAATTTCTGTCAAGAAAAGCTGCTTATAAATGTAATGAAATCACATTTAAAATAAACTGCCTCTGATCACCCCCCCCCCAAAAGATGGATAAACTGTAGGCCATCTTCTTATGCAAAATAATTCAGAAACAGAAAGACAAATGCTGCATGTTTTCACTTGCTAATAATGAATGTAGAATGATAGACATTGGTGACTTGAAAGTGTGGGACAAGTTGGGGATGGGGTGGGGGATGCAAAATTATTTAACTGGTACAATATCCTTTACTGCGGTGATGTATACATTAAAAGTCCTGAATTCACCACAATGCAACATATCAATGTATCAAAATTACTTTTGTATTTTATAAATTCATATATTATATTAAGAAAAGAAAGTTCAAAAAAATCAAAAAGGAAAAAGTAAGCTATAGAAAACAGTGAAACTGAGCTTCTATTATTCAAAACATGTTGGTGTGGCTGGGTGTGGTGGCTCATGCCTGTAATCCTTGTCCTATAGGCTGAGGCAGGTGGATTGCCTAAGCTCAAGAGTTTGGGACCACCCTAGTAAGAGCAAAACTCTGTCTGTACAAAAAATAGAAAAAAAAAAACTAGCTAGGCATCATGGTGGGTGCCTATAGTCCCAGGTACTTGGGAGTCTGAGGCAAAAGGATTTCTTGAACCCAAGACTATGAGGTTGCTGTGAGCTATGACTGATGATGCCACAGCACTCTACTCAGGGCAAAAGAGTAAGATTCTGCTCAAATAAAGAAACGAAACCCAAAACACGCACACACACACACACACACACACACTCTCACATTGGTGTGGTTCTGGTAGAGTTTAATGCTATGTGAGTCAGGCACTAAAGTACTACTTCTCTTCATCCCAGGTAAATAGTTCATCAAGACCTGAACTTGCAGGCATATGAGTCTTGGATGATGAATAATATGTGTCTGAAACTCTGAGGTTCAACAAAACAAAACAAACAAACAAACAAAAAACCTGAACTCACTGTACTTCTGTGGGGTATGAAAACAAATTCTTCTGATCCCCATTTAAGTAAACTGCTGCTGTGATTAACAACTAAATTAATATTTATTTTGAGAATCAGCAAAAAAGCTGAATAAGATGATCTCGAATCATGGTACACCATGAGTCAATGTTGGTGAACTCAGTTGAACTCAATGTTTACCTTGCAGGGAAGGGCGCATGACACAGGGGGTAGAGGTTGCAGCCTCAGATTTATCATCTTCAGACACCAAGTTCTTGGTCAAGGTACTGAGTCTCTAAGACCCAGTTTACTCATCTCTAAAATGGGTTAATTTTACTTTAGGTATTGAGAGATTCAAAAGGGATATTTGATAGATGAAAAAATTTTCTGTATATTTTCACAATCACTGTTAACATGACTGATAAAACATTATGCAACTAACAATTGTGTCTTGACATAATTTCCTTAATGAAAGACTTGGAAATAACAACACTAGTCAATTTAGAATGAATATGATGGCAACTTTACACTCATTAGTGTATACCATTCTAATTGAATTTAGGTTCTCTTAACCACTGAATATCCGCCCCTAGTCGGATCTGAACTTTGTGGTGGTTCTGTGTGGTGGGTCCATTTAATGATTTCCCTCTCTCCCATCCTTTACTGAATCCACAGTGGTGTTCTGTCTATAATTGCTCCTCTTTGCTGTGTATTATTCCATCCTATTATTTCCAACAATGAGAGACCAAAAACACCAGAGAAAGCTGTGTCTAGAGGTAACTGGGAGGGGAGAAGTCATAGTTTGTAAAGCCCTCCCTACTAAATTCTCTGAGATTGGCTTTTATGTCAGTTGCACTGAGCAACTTTTATCTTTCCAGGGATAGAGAGTGGGAGAGCTCTATCTTTTATTTCTTCTCTTGATCATCCTCAGTCCTTTTATCCTTGGAGTCAAATTCCACTGAGAAGTGAGTATAAGGTGCATCTAGCTGATTGGCCAATGTTTATGTCAACAGAGGACACAAGTGAACTAGCAGGGAGCATTATAAAAGGCCTGGAGTGCAAATTCACTGTTGTCTTAGCAGGAGGAGAAGGCTGCAATGGACCCAGCTGTGGCCCTGGTGCTCTGTCTCTCCCATTTCCTTCTCCTTTCCCTCTGGAGAAATTCCCTCTGGATAAATTTGAAATTCAATTTCAAATGAATTTGGTTCAATTCCTAGCAGAGTTATGTTGTGTTCAGTCAAAGTAACAAATATTTGCAATTATGTTTTGTTTTGCTAAAATTGTTGTCAAGGCAGCTATAGTGTAAATGATAATGCACTATAATAGAAACACAAGATCTCAGCTCAAATTCTCCCAAAGTCTTTCTCCATGTGAAAATAAAAATTATAATCCCTGCATTCACGTGTTTTCCTAGAGGGGTTAAAGTTAAAAGGCATGTATATTTGGTGAGCCAATTACCTGACATATGTTTGCTCATACAAGGTGTATGACTTGTGTTATCTATGTTATGCTTAGTTCTGTTGCTGATAGAACATATTAAGTATTTGGCTCAGTGCCTGTAGCTTAAGTGGCTAAGGCACCAACCACATAAATCAGAGCTGGTGGGTTTGGTTCCAGCCCAGGCCTGCCAAGCAACAATGACAACTACAACCAAATAAATAATTGAATAAATAAATAACTGGGCATTGTGGTGGGCACCTGTAGCCCCAGCTACTTGGGAGGCTGAGGCAGGAGAATCACTTGAGCCCCGGAGTTGGAGGTTGCTGTGAGCTGTGATGCCATGGCACTCTACCCAGGGCGACAGCTTGAGGCTCTGTCTCAAAAAAAAAAAGAACATATTAAGTGTTTGAAATGATTTCATTATTATGGGCAAAGTCCATATTTAATATAGCTTTAACATTTTTTAAATATAAGGCATAGAACACATTGATTTCTCAATTATCGCTGCACCTTGGAACCCCTTATTTTGTTTGTTTTAATACTTGGAACCCAACATAGTTCAATTAATCCAGAATGTACAGGGTTGGTACTACCATGAAGGAGAACAAGTCCAAAGAACATTTTATTTTTATCTCTATCAGGGGTCCAAATTCCACTGAGAAGTGAGTATAAGGTGCATCTAGCTGATTGGCCAATGTTTATGTCAAAAGAGGACACAAGTGAACTAGCAGGGAGCATTATAAAAGGCCTGGAGTGCAAACTCACTGTTGTCTTAGCAGGAAGAGAAGGCTGCAATGGACCCAGCTGTGGCCCTGGTGCTCTGTCTCTCCTGTTTGCTTCTCCTTTCCCTCTGGAGACAGAGCTCTGGGAGAGGGAAGCTCCCACCTGGCCCGACTCCTCTCCCTATTATTGGAAATATACTACAGTTGGATATTAAGGACATCAGCAAATCTTTAACAAATGTAAGTATGTGCTCTTCCAGTGGCTTAAACAATGGGTAAGTAACTGATGGCTCCTTTTTTAATATGTGTGAAAGATAGTTCTTGAGGCATACTATTAAAATAGATCGTTGTACAGCCAAATACTTTGATGTTCCTGTTGTCTTTTTCAGTCTATCATTGCCAGAGATAGTAAAATGAAACAATGCATTTTGTGCATAGAGAAATGTTTAGGTCTTTGGTTGAATCAAAATGATAAAGTGGCAAAAATATCGAGTTTGGTGTCCCTTTGTTTTGTAGCCATTTGCTATAATTTTTGGCTCAAGGTAAAAATGGTAAGGGAAGTATGTGCGATTAGAGAGTTCCATTTAATGAATCATCTATAATATTGGCTGTGTGTTTTTATAATAGTCATGAAAGTTGAACTTTTGTGAAAACTCAATTATGTCAAGGAAATGTGTGTTCTGGATTATCATAAATGAATGAAAAAAGAAGAAAATAGTCAAAGTGCAATTGATGGTATCAGAATTTTTTTCAGTTCTGCTAAAACCCACTATGTGTGGGGGAGAATGCTGGTGGGTTGTTTTTCCAGGAGACGTCATGTGTCCTGGTGCTGCCTTTTGGTGTGCTCGCTCTCTCTGTTAGTAACACCAACGTGTCCCCAGTTGGTATGGGCATTAGAATCACCTGAGTGACCTTCAAAAATATGGCTTTCTAGTGTTCATCACATGGCTATGTAGCCACAATCTCCATGAGAAGAGCTTCAGAGATGATCCAGAAGCAGGCATCTGGGTATTGGTCCCAAAGTGGCTAAATAATTTGGGGATACTAAAAAATTACTCAAGTATCACAGTTTGCATAAGCAGAAGTCTAAACTTTGGTCTTTTTCTCTGAACTCAGTTTCCTTGTTGAAAACAGAGAAAATAAATGTGCTAAATGTGTTGATGTAAGGATAATTGTAATCTGTATTCAAATCGGCTTGGTCAATACCTTGTATAGCATCATCCACCTGTGTATAAAATTCAGTAATGTTAGAAGCTATGTGTAGCATAATAAAAGCATCAAAAAATAGTGATAATATCAGTCCAAATTAAGCATAATATATGGTTCAAATACTGGCTTTCTTTTTTTGCTATTTCTGTATTCTCTTCCTTAGCTCTCAAAAGCCTATGGCCCTGTGTTCACTGTGTATTTGGGCATGATGCCCGCTGTGGTGTTGCATGGATATGAAGCAGTGAAGGAAGCCCTGATTGATCATGGAGAGGAGTTTTCTGGAAGAGGCAGTTTCCCATTGGCTGAAAGAGCTAATAGAGGATATGGTAGGTATACATGTGACTGAGTCAGCAGTGGTGAAGGGGGTGAGGAGGATGGAACCAGAGTCCTGAAGAGCTCCCAGGGCAGAGCTTGGCTCACCGACATGGCTGTGAAGTATCAGCTCCCTCCTCCTTGGCTGGGATTTATCTCCTACTTTCTGTTTCCTATCCTGGTAGGTATCGTTTTCAGCAATGGAAATAAGTGGAAGGAGATACGGCGCTTCTCCCTCATGACCCTGCGGAATTTTGGGATGGGGAAGAGGAGCATTGAGGAACGTGTCCAAGAGGAGGCCCGCTGCCTTGTGGAGGAGTTGAGAAAGACCAAGTGTGAGTGACTCTCACTCAGTATCACTGCCCTGAAAAGACTGCAGTGCTCTTTGGTAACATCCTTGAACATATTCAGGGGCAACCTGATATTTCATTATGAGTTCTGCTTGTCAGCCTTCAAGTAGACAATGTTAGATGCAGAGAGCCCAGGGAGCTTGTGTGTGTCTGTCCTGTGTGTACAGGCATGATTGTGCATACAGTGCTGGCATAAAAGGTCATTTAATCCTCTCATCTCCTAAACATTGTTTCTTTGTTTTCAAATGAGAAATCATGAATATAGTTTTTTGAAAAGTATTATTAAAAGTTTATTTCTATTTTACTTTAAAATATTAAGGAGTTGCAAAGGTTTTAGGTTACATTGATTGCTTTTGTAATTCTCGTGTCCTGGCTATAGGTGTGTGCATCATCCAAATAGAGTTCATTGTACCCCTTACGGAGGCTTTTGCCCCTTCCTCTCTCCCTTCCTCCCTTGTTGATTTCCAAAGAGTTTTATTTCCCTCTGTGCATGTGTGCACTCATAGCTTAGTTTTAATTTATCAGTGAGTTCATGTGGTGTGTGTTTGTCTATTTTGAGATGCTTCACTTAGCAGAATGGTCTTTAGTTCCATTTAGATTGTTGCAAAAGATATTAATTCTCACTTTTTATGTCTGAGTAGTACTCCATGGTATGCATATACCACATTTATTAAAACCACTCATGAACTGATGGGCACTTGAGTTGATTCCACATCTTTGTAATTGTGAAGTGATTAATTGTGAATTAATGCTGCAATAATCATTTGCTGCAGGTGTCTTTTTTTTTTTTTTTTTTTTTTCTGAACAGCCATATCTATGGAAAACGGTTTGGAGATTTCTCAAAGAAGTAAAAGTAAACCATTCATTCAATTCAGCAATCCCAGAATTGGGTATTGACCCAATGGAAATACATATAGGTTTTGAGTTCATTTTTAGAATGAGTTCAAAAAGCAGTGTTTTCCCTATATCATGAATGTGAGTCAACCATGCCAGAACATTTCACCAGAGAATATGTGGCAAATGGTGATTATGGAAATGACCATATCACATTCTTTTTTTTTTTTTTTTAACATTTTTAATATTTTTTAACATTTTTAACATCTGGTGTTTAAGGAAGACCAGATCACATTCTTACAGATTATGAACCACATGACCTGTGCTATGCTTTTCCTCGACTGGCTGTGTTTATAGAGTCAACCTCACTGATATGTTTGTGTGTGTTTTTCCAGGCCCTGCTACAGTTATGGCCAACGATGGGCCTATATATGGTTTTAATTGTTTAGGGATAACATAGTACAATTTTCATCAATTATTATTTCCTCTATAAACACAGACCTATTTAAAAATATCAGCATTAATTATTTCTCACTAAACATTACTATATTAATTTACACATTTTAAGTAAACATATGCCATAAGTTTTCTCTGCAAAATGCAAAAATATAAATTTATAAAATTCTTTATTTAATTATATTTCCACTATTATCAGTAACGCTTTACTCTGGCTTTCTTCAGTGTACTTGGCTATGTTTTCAGTTATGCTTATTCCCCTCTTGCCTATTTCATTGGATTTTGGATTAGAAATCTGTGTTAATTGTTTTCCTCCAAAACCCAGCTCTGGTAACTTATGAAATGCTTGTCATGATAAATGTAATTATTAGTTCCAATTGTAATTATCTTTTAAAAATCCTCTCTTCCAAATGCAGTGGAATGAAAGATGGAAAATTACATTTTATCTGTGAATGACAGATAGGGACAAAAATCTCCAAGGCTTCTCAAATAACGCTCTACCCTCTAGGCTAAAATAAAACTTTTTCTAAAATACAGACCTATTTTAGATAGGTCTGTTTAATGGTTCTAAACAGCTTAGAGCCCTGTAAGGTTTAAAGGAAGCTGGCATAACTCAGCAGTTTTGTTTTTTAATGTCCTACCATTTAGTCAGAACAGTTGTGATTCAAGTCACTCTTATTTGGCAACTGTAGATGTGAGTTTAGGAGCTCCTTATGTACAAAGTGTGTTGGTCACTGGATTACAAAAATTTTATCTTGGTGATCCTTCAGCAAAAAAGGAAACCTTTCTTATAATTTAAGTTCCTTGCCTGTAAAATGATAGACTTGGCCTAACTGATGATAAGATGAAAAAAATTTTAGAACATACTGTGCTGTTGATGGATATATAGAACAGTATACCCGAATCCATAAAATAACAGCTTTTCTTTTCTTTTCTTTTTTTTTTTATTAAATGATAGCTGTATACATTAACGCAAACATGGGGTACAGTGTAGTGTTTCATATACATTTTGAAATACTTTCATCAAGCTGGTTCACATAAATTTCATGTCATTTGCATAGTCATTGTGTCAAAACATTTATATTCTAGTTCTAGAAAAGTTCACTTGTACCCTTGTTAGACAGATATATAGATGATCTTTCTGGTCAATAACAGCTTTTCACACAAAAAACTAAGTTTTAAAGATGATTGGAGATGATGAACTTGGATTTCCTAAAGAGGAAAATTTTTTCTTAAAAAATTGATATAGGAAAAACTGTATTTATAAATCTACTTTTGTTTTATTTTCACTTGCCAGGATTTACATTTCAAATAAAATGCTCTCATATTAATTTTGTGACAAACAAATCCATCTTATATTTATTGTTCATTTTTTTGGGTCTTTTTTTAAAATTTCTTATAGCATAACTATGTACATTAATGCAATCATGGGGTACAGTGTGCTATTTTCATATACATTTTGAAATACTCTCATCAAACTGGATAATATAACCTTCATGTCATTCTCTTAGTCATTAAGTTAAGACATTCATATTCTGCTTTTAGAAAGATTCACTTGTACCCTTGTAAGATAAACCTACTATTCATTTTTATTAATTTTTCTTCTCATATACCGTAGATGCATTCTGCTTTATAAACTTGCTCCTCTAAACACATGAATTCATCCATGATTTCACTCTCTTTAGTACCTCACTATTGGTTCAACACATGATTCCTTCTGCTATGTGTTATATATGAAAAGCTTCTGGGTCCCCACCTATCTCTCCCTTTCTATCTCTGCAATTTATTGTCTACAACCTTTGCAAACAGATATGATTCTGCTCTGAAAACTTGAATTATTAGAATTTTTAAATAATGCATTTTCCATCTTTCTAAAATAACAGATACCTTGGGTTAAAAGAGTATAAATAAAGGCAGTGGATGTGAATTAGTATTTGTAAAACCATTATTTAACCAGCTAGTTTATAACAGTCACTTTGGGTTTAAGGCCAAAGAGATGCAGTGATTTTATGCATACTGAATTCTTTTGGATGTTTAAGAAATTTCCAAAAAATTCCCTATGAGAAAATTATTTCTCCAGTTGACAATTAATCAAGAGGAAAATTTTCAACACTATATCCATGGAGAAAGTAAAAATAATTGCCAGGATTTGTGGCATGCACCTGTAGTCTCTATGAATAAAATAAAATAAAAATGAGGAGTAATCTGAAAAACAAAAAAGAAATTTCCAGATAATATCGTCTTCAAAATTCTAAAATACCTTTACCTATTAATAAAGACAAATTATTTTTAATTTGTGTTTTAATATATTTTAAAATTGTTTCTAATTTTTAGCCTCACCTTGTGATCCCACTTTTACGCTGAGCTGTGCACCTTGCAATGTGATCTGCTCCATTATTTTCAAGAATCGTTTTGATTACAGAGATCAGAATTTCCTTAACTTGATGGAAAAACTCAATGAAAACATCAGAATTCTCAGCTCTCCATGGGTACAGGTGGGATCACGATCCTTTCTTTCTGAGAAACCACTTAATCCTCTTTTCTCTTACAAGTCCAAAATTCCATATGGACCTAGCTATGAAGTGCATGCTTGAATTCTGCTGTCCTATCTAGAAAGTCATGGGGGTGAACATCTTGGAAAGATCCCTCAACCCTTCACATTACACATGGGAAATGAATGCCCAAATATAGCACTGGCTTTCAAGCCCATGAGCTCCTGGTATAGTGATGTTTTTCACTGAACCCAAAGTCCTGTTTCTGTGAAGTACTTTGGTAACTGTCCAAAGTGTGCTTATTTTACTCAATGGACTTCTAGGCCCTTCTGAATGCTTTTGTTACCCACAAGGCTTGTCTCCCAGTCAAGACTTAGAGAATTGTTTGTCATATTACCTGACAGAAATATCCTAATTTGGGAAGATAATATGTCTTCAAGGAAAGAGAGTGTTTGGGACCATAGAAGTAATCTGTTAGTAATCTGCTAGGCAACCCCCACATAGCGGTGTTTGATGCCTCAGAAGGCATCCTAGCTGACAAAGTGTCAGGGTTAAGAGTGACAGAATGATTGATTTTATGGTTATAAACCAGAAACAATAATCACAATTTTACCCGGTGCTGAATTGTCATGTCCCACACTTTACCTAAATAATTGTGGGATCTTGGGGAAGATACATCAGTCCCCTGGTACTGTTACTTTCAAGGTATCTTTGAAAGCAGAGACGAGTTTGTGCTCTCCATCAAGTTTCCCAAACTCACTTAAAATGTGTTGTCATTAATAAAATATCAATTGTAGTAATTTATTCCATCTTACATTTCAAGGTTGTGGGGAATAATTGGTATAAAAGTGAGAGACTCTAAAGGCGCTTTTACATTATAAATATTTTGTATAAATCTAGGAAATGGTTATCATGTTTGGTTTTCAGGTCAGAATTTTCTCCCACAAATCTTTCTATATAGAGAGAATTACTATCCTGTAAGAAGAACTTCTCCCTCAAGATGGGCAGCGTATGTTCATTTTAATAACTGTCATTTCTAATCAGGCTTGAATTATGGCATATATCTTCAATTAGTATTTTCTATTTAATGAATTATTTTTTGTCTTTTAGGTCTGCAATAATTTCCCTGCTCTCATTGATTATTTCCCAGGGAGTCATAACAAATTACTTAAAAATATTGCTTTTGTTAAAAGTTATATTTTGGAGAAAGTAAAGGAACACCAAGAATCGTTGGATGTTAACAACCCCCGGGACTTTATTGATTGCTTCCTTATCAAAATGGAGCAGGTAAAGTGTTAAAAAAATATATGGACTCCACTCAGCACCCACATCTCCACTGAGGTGGGTGCAGAGAATTTTGTAGCAGTACCTTTGGGCTCTCAGGTAAAGGAGAGCATATGTTCCCCTTTCTTTTGTCCTCCAAAGTCACGTGGCTCATGGACTTTCTCCCTCCCAAGGGCAGCTCACCCTAGGAGGCAGAATTCTGGAAATTCTGCAGCTCTCTTGTGCTAACCCATGACCTTTGTGGTTATCACAGTCCACAGGAGTGCTGAATGATGATTGTGTTGCCAGTGACAAAGAGACTCCCTGGGCAGAACTGAGTCACAAAAGGAATGCTAGTTTGTGGGTAGGAAGGTATTCTGTTTTTAAGAAATTCTCAGTTCACCAATGGCAGCATTGCTTGGACTCATGAGAGAATAGGAACTTGCCAATAGTTCAGGAGCCAGCAATCGGCTACAGGTGTGAAGGGAGTAAAGGTCTAAACCTCTGACTTACCCTTTCTGTGGGGCTACAAATTGCCTGTGGATCGATCTGATCCCTCCTGGGATCTTCAGCAGGTTCTGTCCCTTCCCATCAGTATTCCACTTGGGCTATGCTTTTTCACCCGAAACACTTTCTTTATTCTGTGATAATCTGAGGACTGATGTCTGTAGTCAGGCAATTTGCCTTACTCCTCCAATACATTTATCTTCTGAAGGAAAAAATTCAAACTTGAATTCAAGTTTTTAAAAGAACTCATCCAGAAAAAAAACAGGACAAATGAATGAAAAAGAATGAACAAAAACTATGTCTCACATGGGACACCATAAAGCAACCACGTATTAGAAAACTGGGCTTTCTAGAAGGTAAGAAAGCCCAAAACTATTTGATAAAATAATAGCTGAAGACTTTCCAAGTCTACTAATTGAGTTAGACATCCAGTTATAGGAAGCCCAGAGATCCCCAAAGAAATACTGCTGAAAAATGTCTCCATGGCACATTTTAGCCAAAATGTGAAAAGTTAAGGACAGTAAGAGAATTTTAACAATAGCAGGAATCACATTTATGTCTAGTCACCTATAAGGAAACCCTCAACAAACAAGTGGATTCATTACAGGTCAGAAAAGAATAGAATGGCATTTTCAGAGTGTTCATCTATAAGGAAACCCTCAACAAACAAATGGATTTCTTAGCTAAGACCTTACAGGTCAGACAAGAATAGAATGGCATTTTCAGAGTGTTCAAAGGAAAACATTACCAGTGAATAATAATATATCCAGTAAACTTACCCTTCATAAATGAAGGAGAAATAAAATCTTTCCCAGACAAAGAAAAACTAAGGGAATTAATCTCAACTAGACCAGCACGACACAAATGCTTCAGAGAATCCTACTCATTGAAGTGAAAGGGTAATATCTACTAGTAAGAAAATAAATGAAAGTATAAAAATCACTGGTGAAGCAAACACATAAATGAAGAAGAGAGGGAAAGGACTTAAATATTTTCACTACAGAAACCCAACAAATAACAATGATAAACAAGAGGCAAAGAGAGGAACAAAGAATATACAAAACAACCAGAAAACAACAGAGCGACATGAGTTCTCATATATCATCATAAACTTGAATGCCAATGGTTTAAAATTATAGACTAGCTGAATGGATAAAAAAAAAACAAAAACAAAAACAACAGCTATGTGCTGCCTAAGAGAAACGCAGTTCACCTGTAAAGATGCTTATAGACAAAAAGCAATGTAACGGGAAAAGATATTCATACAAACAGAAACCCAAAGCAAGCAGAAGTAACCAGACTTACACCAGATAAAACAGACTTTAAGTCAAAAAGGTAAAATGAGATAAAGGAGGCCATTGTAAAATTATAAAGGGACCAATTCAGCAGCAGTATATTACGATTCCAATCTATATGTACTCCAAACCAGAGCCTTAGAATACAGAGAGAAAATACTAGATCTACAGAAAGAAATAGTCTCCAATACTATAATAGTATTCAACACCCTACTTTTAATATTAGACAGATCTTCTTAACATAAAATTAACAAAGAAACATTGGATCTGAACTGTACTTTAGACAAAAATGGACCGAACAAACATCTGCAGAACACTTTAGCCAGTATCTGGAGAACACACATTCTTTTCCTCTGTGGAGATGGATTATATGTAAGGCCACACATTTCAAGAAATTAAAAAAAAAAAAAAGAAACCGTATGAAGTCTCTTCTCAGACTACAATGGAATAGAACTAAAAACTAGTACAAAAAGCAACTTTAGAGACTATACAAATACACAGAGATTAAACAACATGCTTCTGAGCAACCACTGGATCAATGAAGAAATGAAGAAGGAAACCAAAAAGTTTCTTGAAACGAATGAATGTAGAAACATAACAAACCAAGACTTATAGAATATAGAAAAAGAATACTAAGGGAAAAGGTTATAATAGTCAACTATGAAAGAAGCAGAACCATTTCAAATAAACAACCTAATGATGCACCTTGAGGAACTAGAAAAGTAAGAAGAGACCAAAGCCTAAATTTATAGAAGGAAAGGAAAGACATAATAAAGATCAGAGCAGAACTAAACAAAGTGGAGACTAAATAAACACAAAGCATCATCAAATGTCTGTAGAGTGTTTTTAATTTCACTCATTATATTCTTTAGCAGTAGAAGTTCTTTTTTTTTTTAAAATAATTTCTATGGCTTTGTTGAATTTCACATATGTATTGTGAATTGTTTCCATGATTATATGAGGTTCTTTTAAGAATTTTCTTACAAAGTGTATTTCTTTAGGATTATAATTTTGAATTTTTTTTGACAATTTGATTTCCTTTTCATTGGGATCTGTTACCAGAGAGTTACTTGTTCTTTTTGTGATGTCATATTTCCTTGATTTTTCATGTTTCTTGTTTCCCTACATTGATATCTGTGCATCTGGTGGAACAATTACTTCTTCCAAACGTTCTAGAGTGGCTTTGGAGAAAGGCATTCACCTGAAGTTGGGTGTTTGTGTGCAAGTGGTAAATGGTTTGGTGTCTCTGTTTCTAGATAAGTACAAGGGATAGTCGTTGTGCAGCCTCTTGAGTTGCAGTCATTATCAGTAATAACTTTTAATGCCTTAGTGGTTTAGGCTATGGAAGTTTGTGGTAGGGTTGACAGCATTGTAGCTTGTTAATGTTCTTGATGTCAAGGTCTTTTGGGGTCCTCCTATTATCATTTTTTCAAAAGGATAAGACTTTTCTTTAGGGATTCCTCTGTCAGTCCTGACATGACTCCCAAGGAGCTGCAGTGGTGTTGGCTTTCAGGTACATGTACTTTAAGCTGTTATGGGGTCAGAGTTTTAGGCACAGGGTTTCATTGACATATTTTGGCACCTGGGTCTTGGGGTGCAGGTTCATTCTCTGTGGCAGAGTTGGATGTAGATTGCTCACATAACCAGAATCGTTGATTCTGTGGAACCCTCTAGTACAGGTGTCCTTAAACTATGGCCTGTGGGCCACATGTAGCCCACCTAGGACATTTATCCAGCCCACTGGGTGTTTTTGCTGCTGCTGCCTGTCCTGCTTAGCAGCCAACTCATTCCAGGGCCCACAGCCCAGCCCTCCAATGGTCTGAGGGACAGTGAACTGACCCCCTGTTTAAAAAGTTTGAGGACCCCTGCCTAGTAGCTCAGGCCCATATGATGTATGGTAGTTGTGATACTAACTCCAGGGTGTGGTGGTGGTAGGGCACAGCTCTGGTCTGTCTCTGGGGCAAGAGGTGGTGTTCTAGAAGTTTTGGCCAAGGGAAGAAGGTATGGTTGCAATAGAAGAACCTGAGCCAATGGGCTTAGTGACAATTTGGTCCCAGTGTATGTGGCACTATGTATTAGTGACTCCAAACTCTGGGGTGATGGGGCTCAGTGGTGCTGCAGACTCTGTGAGGCTGTGTACTCCAGGAGCAAGTACCTTAGAAGGGCAGAGCATTGCTGTCCTTTAAATCTTCAAGGGCAGAGGACAGCACAGTGATAAATCCATTCCCCAATGAAAGGAATTTCTCAGCAGCTCAGGTACTAGAGGCTAGTCCAGCTCCAGAGAAGCAGAGTGTGAGAGTTGTTTGAGCTATAGTGTTGGATCTCTCAACTGAACCCATCCCCTGCTTCCCAAGGATGCAGGTGCCTATGTCAGCTCATCCCTCGGTAAGCAGTTGCTCTCCTCTACCAGGGCACTAATTCCACAGTGGACAATGTACTGCCTCAGCTCTGGCTGGGGTTGGGAGACATGTATGGTTCTGGGCAGTCTAAGCACCATTTGACTTTGATGGAAGGCACCACTTTTGCTTAAGTGTGGGGTGTATAACTGCATGTCTGTTCTTTCTTGATGAACTTTTGTTTTCTTTCATTATTTTAATTAAATTGTAGTTGTACATTTATTGTTTTGGCTGTCTGAGAAGAGGATGAGTGCTAAGTGTGTAGCATATCTAATATTATGGATTCAACACATGAAAATAGACTGGACCCTCTCAGCATGGTACCTGTTACACAAAGGCATCCATCTCCCTTGATAACATCAGTGTCACAAGCTTTCTAAGCTTGCCAAATTAAAATCACCCATAAATTAGTAAAAAGAGAAATCTGCTCAAAAACCAATATTATTCTTTTCTTTTTTTGTCTCTCTCTCTTTTTTTAATAATTTAATTCTGATTTAGGAACTGGATAGAAAATAATATATTTTGTAATATGTCAACAACATTAGTTAAAAATTTTAAGGGAGAAAATCATATATTTGTACATTAATGATCACCTACGCTCAATATTAAAAACTGGCTCCTCATTGTCAGTTCTGTGATATCATCCCTTTGGTCCTAAACCAAACTTATTATTCCTAATGAATTGCTTTCTCTCCTAACTTTCAATTAGAAGAACTCCATTAGCTTGTTCCTGTGCATGTACTTTGTCCTTTATACCATATGGGCAGTTAATGCAGCAACTGTCTGTCTCCATGACTGCAGTTTCTCTTCAATTTGAGTATTCGTGCTTATTCATTCAACCCTCAGACCAGGTTGCTTGTTGATTCCTACCTGGATTACAGTAGTGCTGGCCTCATCTTGTCATTGTTAACCCATTCTCTCCCTATAATTCATTGTATGTTTTTCTGCTATATTAGCTTTTACACAATGTCCAGATCTATAGACAATACTGAGTCCATGACAATTTCTGGCAGAAGAGAATTATAGACTATTGATTCAGACTTACAACATTTTTCATGATATAGCCCTATTTATCCATTTCTTTTAATGTAGCATTGATTGTATTTGTCTACATGTAAGGGAAAATCCAGTTAATAGTTCAACAAATAGTGGGAATATTTATCTCAAATACATGGAGTCTCATGGTGGAGCAATATAGGGAAGATATATTAGCCCCAAAGCATTATAGAGTCCTGGGTGGTGCCTGTGGCTCAAAGGCAGGGTACCAGCCCCATATGCTGGAGGTGGTGGGTTCAAACCCAGCCCCGGCCCCCCCCCCAAAAAAAAAACCTGCTAAAAAGAAAATAAGGAGATTCAGAGCATTATAGAGTCCAGTCCCTTCCTCCTCCCATATTTCATATATAGGCCTTCATATTCATGATTAAACCCTGATGACCCAAGATGAGGTCTACTCTACTTCCTCTTCATATTTGTGTTGAGTGCGAAGAAGGTAGAAGAAGTGCCAACCATAGACTTCTGTGTATATCTTTTTGGCAAAAGCTATGCTGCCTGACTCAGCTAAGTGCAGAGTTTGATGAGTGGAATTTTGGGGCAAGCATGGTATAAGGGGCAGGAAATGAAGTTTGGAGTGACTGATCTGCAGCCTGTGTATACCAGGCAGTAGTCGTTCCTAATATTATACTTTCTGCTCTCTGTGTTGGATAAGTTTCTAACAATGTGAGTTATTATGGATTCACTGTAATTAAATATGCTGGCATATGAATTTGTCAGTGATAACATTCAACTAATCCTAGGAAAAGCATAATCAACAGTCGGAGTTTACTGTTGAAAACTTGATAATCACTGCATCTGACTTTTTTGGAGCTGGGACAGAGACAACAAGCACAACCCTGAGATACGCCCTCCTGCTCCTGCTGAAGCATCCGGAAGTCACAGGTATGACCACAGATGAGGAGCAATGTGAACTTCAAAAGTAATGTTAGGAGGACGGCTGATGTCTTCCATCCTGTTTCCCTTATTAAAGTGACACATTTTAAAATTCTGTGCCACCAGCTATAATTAGTACAAATGTAATGATGTTATTAAAGTGGGACATCTTGGCAAAACAGAAGAGGATGACTGAGGGAAGTGAAGGCACCATGGTAGTAGGAAAAGCTATAGCAATCTGGTGCAGAGTCTGTATCTCATGGGTGATAATTTACACCAGACAGAGGCAACAACCTAAATTGGTTGGGATTGCACATTGGCTTTTTATGAGAAAAAAACTTTGAACAGTGGGTATACTTTTGAAGATACCTTTCCTCATTATGAACATTTCATGTTCTTTTTTTTTTTTTTTTTTTTTTGAGACAGAGCCTCAAGCTATCCCCCTGGGGGGTAGAGTGCCATAGCATCACAGCTCACAGCAACCTCCAACTCTTGGGCTCAAACGAGTCTCCTGCCTCTGCCTACCAAGAAGCTGGGACCACAGGTGCCTGCCACAACACCTGGCTATTTTTTGGTTGCAGCCATCATTGTTTTGGCGGGCCGGGGCTGGATTTGAACCCACCATCTTAGGTGTATGTGGCTGGTGCCTTAGCCACTTGAGCCACAGGCACCGAGGCAAAATTCCATGTTCTAATATTGAAGTAGGGAAAATGCATTCTCCTTACTGAATCCTATCTGGAGATTCTCAAAAGTTAGTGAGGTTACCTGGGATCTTTCCAGTCTGGAAAGTATTCTAAAAAATTAGATTCATAAGAAAGGTGTCCCCATTTAGGCAAAAGGTATACCTAAAAGAAGCTTATTATTCCAGAAATCTGTTCCATAAAACAGGTGTTTGACAAAATAAAAGTATTTTTGAGATGCGGCTCAATATTTTTTCTTTTATAAATTTCTTTAGAAATTTACCTTTAATGAATTCTAGCTATGCAACAGATACTTTTTTGTGTGTTAATAATTGCCCTGAAATGACAATAACATTTAAAAAAAATTAAATCATAGCTGTGTACATTAATACTAACGTGGGGTACAGTATACTGTTTCTATATACAATTTGAAATACTTTCATCCAACTGGTTAACATAGCCTTCATGTCTTTTTCTTAGTTATTGTGTTAAGACGTTTATAGTCTACATTTAGAGAGATTCACATGTACCCTTATAGGATGAACCATAGGCATGATCCCACCAATCACCCTCCCTCCATCCACCCTCCTCCCTCCCCTCCCCTCCCTCACCCCTCTCCCCATATTCCTGGGCTAAAATTGGGTTATAGCTTTCCTATGAAAGCTATAAATTAGTTTCATAGTAGGGCTGAGTACATTGGATACTTTTTCTTCCATTCTTAAGATACTTTGCTAAGAAGAATATTTTCCAGCTCCATCCATGTTAACATGAAGGAGGTAAAGCCTCCATCTTTCTTTATGGTTGCATAGTATTCCATAGTGTACATATACCACAATTTACTAATCCATTCATGGATCACTTGGGCTTCTTCCATGACCTAGCAATTATGAATGACAATAACTTCTTATAAATGAGAATTAGTGTCTTTAAAGTAGAAAGAATGGGCTTGGCACCTGTGGCTCAAGTGGCTAAGGCACCAGCCACGTACACCCAAGGTGGTGGGTTCGAATCCAGCCCAGGCCGCCAAACAACAATGACGGCTGCAAACAAAAAATGGCCAGGCATTGTGGCAGGCACCTGTGGTCCCAGCTACCTGGGAGGCTGAGGCAGGAGACTTGCTTGAGCCCAGGAGTTGGAGGTTGCTGTGAGCTGTGATGCCACAGCACTCTACCCAGGGGGACAGCTTGAGGCTCCTGTCTCAAAAAAAAAAAAAAAAAAAAGGTAGGAAGAATGGACTACAGGAAACCACCAACAGAGAGGTGATTGATAGCCTGAGGTTCCCAATAATTAGGAAATTATTACTATCAATTTGAAACATCTTCCTGAGACTGTGGGAATAATTCTTAATTTATATATCAAACATTTCATCATTTCTGTTTGTAGTACTTATATATGTCAATACACATAATGTATGTAAAGATTTATCTTAAGACCTAGCTTATGGTACAATTATATGGATTTCTATTATAACAAGTCTCTAAGTCTAAAGGTAATTTTCTCTCTATAATTTAAGTTTGTATTGACTATGTGGTACTTTCATAAGCATAACCCTGATTCCTATGACAAATGTCCATTTTTGTCCTTTTCCATCACCTCTTACTTGTGTCTTATCAGCTAAAGTCCAGGAGGAAATTAACCATGTGATTGGCAGACACCGGAGCCCCTGCATGCAGGACAGGAGCCACATGCCCTACACGGATGCCGTGGTGCATGAGGTCCAGAGATACATTGACCTCATTCCCACCAACCTCCCTCATGCGGTGACCCGTGATATTAAGTTTAGAAACTACCTGATCCCCAAGGTAAACTTGTTTTTCTGACATGGCACCTCAGTTCTCTTAAAATTCCCAAATCCATTGTATGGTCCCAATCCTCTACCAACACAAGATGAGAGAAGTACAAAACTCAGATGTGTGGCAGCTTGATGGACTTTGTGTTGTTTCAATTTGGAGCTGTAAAGCTTTAGAATGAACAGGTCTTGGTACCTAGCGGTTGTGTCTTCCAAATTTGTTCTTCTTCTTCAAGATTATGTTGGCTACTCTTAGGTATACACACTTCCAAATAAATTGTATAAATAAAAGTTTACTAATTAGCCAAACACTTTGCTGGGATTTCTATCAGGGTGATATTTAATGTATGTTTATTTATTTACTTTTAATTTTTTCTTGACAGAACTTATTTTTTAATTGAAACTCAGTTTTTTAGTTAATTTTTAATTAAAATCATAACTGTATACATATATGGGTACAATATGATGGTTTGATAATAAAATGTAGTATGCTTAAATCACAGTGATTAACATAACCATCACCTGCTTACTTATTTTTTGTGGTAATACACTTATAGTTCACTCTTAGTTATTTTGCAATATGCCATTGCATTGTACACAGTAGGTGAGATCCCACCAAGTGCCCTCCATCCTCCCACCAACTGACCTCCCCCCTCCTCTTCCCTCTTCTTTCTCTTCCTTCCCTCTTACTAGACTATATTTGTGTTTTGTTATTTATATGAGTGTGTGTTTATATGTTGGTTTGATAATAGTATTGAGTAAATTGGACACTTTCCCCCCATTCTTGAGATACTTTACTAAGAAGAATGTGTTCCAATTCTATCCAGGTGTTTACTTGGGTAAAAGATGTAAAGTTTCCATCTTTTTTTTAATGGCGGAATAATATTCCATGGTATACATATACCACAATCTGTTGATCCTTTCATGGGTTGATGGGTATTTGGGTTGCTTTCATGACATTGTTAAAATGTCCACACTACCCAAAGCAATCTACAGATTTATTGCAATTCCCATCAAAGCACCAATGTCATATTTTAAAGAACTTGAAATAATGGTACTTCCTTTTATATGGAATCAGAAAAAACCTTTAATAGCCAATATAGTACTTAGAAATAAAAACAAATCTTGAGGCATCATGCTACCAGACTTCATGTTATATTGCAAATCTATAGTGATCAAAACATCATGGTACTGGCACAAAAATAGAGATGTAGATATATGGAATAGAATAGAGAATCTAGAGATGAACCTAGCCACATATCATTATTTGGTCTTTGATAAGCCTAACAAAAAAGATATTTAATGTATAGATCAATTTGGAAAAAAATGATAGCTTGACATATTGAATCTTTCTATCCATGAATAAGTTTATACTCCTAATTTATTTGAGTTGTCTTTTATTTTCTTAGTAATATTAATTTTTGGTACAGTGGTTTACAAACATTTTAGTAAGATTTTTCTAGGTAATTATTATTTTTTGTTGTTATACATTTATAAAATGCCTTTTCTATTTATTTGTACATACTATTAGTGAGTGGCAATACTATAGAATTGATTTTACCATTATTATGACATAAATCTAACTCTTTTCTAAATTGACTAATCATTGCTAATTTGACTGTAGATTCATGGGGAATTTCCATGTACATTATTTGGCTATCTAAGCTAATACCACGTACATATTTGTTTTATTTCTCATTTTCCAATTCCTGTGTCCTTAATTTCTGTTTATTATATTATTGCACTGGCCGGTATTTCCGGGATGGTGTTGAACAGAATTGGTGATAGCGGGCATCCTTGTTTCATTTATAATCTGCAATAAAGGGTGGAGGTTTAACATCTCACTGCTAAAAATGATGCTTTAAGTTCATTTAGGTACATATTCTTCATCAGATTAGGAAAGCTTGCTCTCTTCTCTTATTCTTATATGAATTGTTGTCATAAATTTGTGTCTAATTTTATCAAATTGATTTTCTGCATTTATTGGAATGATGGCATGCATTGTCTCTACCTTCTGTTTTAAATATACATGTGTACACACACATAGCTATATTTGATGTGCTTTATATTATTCAGGACTTATGTATTTATATTTATGATGTATTTTGATCTGTGTTTTTACTTCTTCAAAATTTTCTGGTCAGATTTCTGATGCCAAGATAATGCTGGCTCTTGAAATTAGGAAGAAATGTTCCTAAATGTGGGTCTCTGTTTATTCCCTTTCCTTCTCCCACTTTTCTTCTTAGACCACTTAGCTGTATCTTTGAAGTGCTTAATAATTTTTGGTAAAATACCAAATATCATAAATGAAAACATGTAGAGTATCAGAGATATTTATCCCCCTCCAGAAAGGATTCATTCCTCTCTCTTAGGCAATTATAATGATGTAAGACCTCTTGCCCTGATTCAGAGTTGAACATGATGTAAACACAGTTGGAATTAACTGTAGCCACTAACTTACCGCTCTGATGTTTTCCTATCTCTAGATTCTTGAGAACAATTTTTATCTTAGCAGCTGTGCAATGCCTTCTAACACATGGTTTCCATATTCATCCAGACATTCTAGATGCTATGCTACCTACTACTCCCTTCTGTTAAAGACAGGTCATATTATTACTAAAATTAAAAAAAGTATAACCCAAGGTTGTATTTTCAAGGGGAAAAAATCAATGAGATTTGTTAAGTTGCAAAGTCTTGTGCCATTATTAGTTATGCAAAGTTCCTTAGTAATAAAATGGTATTAAAATATCTCTCCGTTGCAGAGATTCTGCTTATCATGTAAATGAATAAAAATCTATGGCAAGGTCCATTAAGACTGTATAAAAGTCCTTCTTCTTAAACCATGAACTCTGAAGTTTGAGCTTTAATTGATGATCCTTGTCTGAAATGAAAATCCTGACCTGAATTCTTACAAAGTGACAATTTTTCCTCATTTTATCATTTCTTTCTATGTTTTAAAGCTAGGACTGATTTGTAATGAGTATCTTTCCCATAATGGAGACCATCAAACTACATGGGAATGATGAACACTATCGTTTTACACTTATCATATTTGTTGTGACTATTGCAGAAGGTGATTTTTAAAATGACGACATATGATGATTATAAATGACCTCTGAGCAGACACTGCAGACATTTCAGCTGCCAAGAGAGGCTTCCTTTTAAAGCATGCTCTATGTATGAAATGTATGTCAAAACTGAAAAGATGAACTAGAGCACCAAGTGGGGATAGTCACTCATGTCCAAAATTTATTATACGGTGAAAAAATTTGGAAGGTTTAGCACCAAAGTACCAGAGTACTTCAAATGTGATTGGAGCCGACTTTATCAAGATCACTGACACTCGCTTTAACTCGATGTCTTTTATTACTAGGTCTGTCTGGTTGGAAATGTACTGTCTGAAAATGTTACAGCATTTCCTCATAGACACATCAAAAGAATTAACCAGGCAATTATCATTGTTTCTTCTAGTTCCATGACTTTATAACTTGGTTTATTTATGTTTATGGTTTCTAGGGCACAACTGTATTAACATCCCTAACATCTGTGCTGCATGACTGCAAGGAATTCCCCAACCCAGAAACGTTTGACCCTAGCCACTTTCTGGATGAGAGTGGCAACTTTAGGAAAAGTGACTACTTCATGCCTTTCTCAGCAGGTAATAGAAATTCATTTACATTTGCACTTCAGAGAATAAGATTATTTGGGGGGATCCGTTGGAACTTCCATGGTGTCTCTTCTAGATTTGGCATGATTAATTGCTTCTTGTACATGATCAGAGCAACACTCCCTATGCCCATGTGCTCCCCACCTCAGGATACTTCCTTGCTGTTAGGCCAGATTAGAGGGGTTTGGGGAGTTGACCCAGTTTCTCCTAGCTGAAGTATAGGTTGGTTGAATTCTGCCACTAGGTATATAACTGAGGTACCCAGGAAATCCTCCTAGAACTTAGAACTCATTTATCCTTCCAGGTAATTATAAAAGATGCAGAGTCCCCAACATATCTGAATAATGAAAAAGCAAGCATCCCATGTACTGAAACTAAGTTGAAACAACTATAGCCCACAGGAGAGAAAAACACCAATTCAAGAAGGAGGGAGGGGGAGAGGTGGTTTGGTAAGTTCCCACTTAACAGGTACAATGAAGGGGTGTATTTCACACTTCCTGGGTAAAGAACAAGACTACAATTTGGACTTGACTCTACAAATGCAAACAAGGTAACCTAATCGTATGTACCCTCATACTAATGTGAAAAAAAAACTGAAATAATTCATTTATCCTTTCCTTACTCACCATGAGAAAGGCATCTAACTCCAAAACTTCACTGAGTGTCTTCTATGTGATGTTTCTCAGACCCAGGCTGAGCTCTGGGGATACAAACAACCTCAGGCACAGGGGGGAGCCTTAAGAACTCACTCCCAAGTTAGAGAAGTAGACGAGCAAATGTGCTTATTATAATTCAGTATGACTGGGGCTGTGAGGGAGAAATGCACAGGCTACTGGTGAAGGGGACAGAGAGAGAAGATGCCTGCCCTGCCCTCTCGCATCCCACACTGAGGCATAAAACGGAAGAAGCAATTCTGTTCTCATAGCAGAAACGACATTTAAGCTGCCTCAAAGGAGGCACAGAAAATAGAATGAGGAGAAGGCAGGGCATTTTCAAGAAGGTAATGAACCAGAGGAGCAGGACATTTCTCTAATAATCACGGAGTCATTATGGAATATGGCTGGCTACTCTGCAGTGATCACAGAGCATTCTGTTCTCTGTCCTGTCATGCTTAGATATCTTGGATATTGTTTCTCCATAGCTGTGGTATGTGTGCTGAGTCTCTGGACATGCAAACCCCATTCTATACTCTGTGGCCTTTTCCAAAATTTTTCTCTTCAGTTTAGTATGAGGGTATAGATGATTTAGTTATGTTGTTTGCATTTGTTTGGTAAAGTCCAAGTTGTCTGCGTGCCCTTTCCCCAGGAGGAGTGCCATATGTGCTTACATTGTGCCTGTTAGGTGAGAGCACACCAGTTCCTCTCCTTCCTCCAGCCTTGCCCGTCTCTCCTTCCCTTGGCCCCCAACTTGAGTTTAATTGTGTTTTTCTCCAGTGTGATTGTGTATTGGTTAATCTGCTGGTTTCACGTTAGTATTTACTACATTGGATACTTTCCTTTCTAATCTTGTGATACTTTACTAAGTAGAATGTCCTCCAAATCCATCCAGGTTAATAAAAAAAGATGTGAAGTCTCCATATTTTTTATGCCTGAATAGCATTCCATGATTTTATATATATATATATATATATATATATACACACACACACACACACATATACACATGATATATATATATATACACACATATACCACACCAGTTTATTGATCCACTCATGAGTTGATAGGCACTTGGGTTGATTCCACATCTTGATAATTGTGAGTGAGCTGTAATAAACATTCTAGTAATACTTTGCTAAGAAGAACATTTTCCAGCTCCATCCATGTAAACATGAAGGACTTAAAGTCTCCATCTTTCTTTATGACTGCATAGTATTCCATAGCGTACACAATAACTAAGAAAATGACATAAAAGCTATGTCATTTGATGAAAGTATTTCAAATTGTATATGAAAATACCACATTGTACCCCATGATTGCATTAATGTACACAGCTATCATTTAATAAAAATAGAAAGTCAACATATGATTATCAATTATAATTACACTCAAGAGACTGAGACGTTCTACTTGAATGAGAGTTCCAGATAATAAAGCACATTCAAGTAAAAAAAAAAAAATAACATTCTAGTACAGATGTCCTTACGGTAAATGATTTTCTTTATTCTGCGTTGATCCTTAGTAATGGGATTATAGGAGCAAATGAAATGTCTACTTTGAGTTCTTTGAGGATTTTCCACACTTCTTATCAAAGAGACTATATTAGTTTGCAATCTCACCAAAAGTGTAAAAATGTTCCCTTCTCTCCACATATGCACCGGCATCTGAAGCTTTGGGACATTGTGATGTGGGCTGTTTTCACTGGGGTTTGGTGACATCTCATGGTTGTTTTATTCTCATTTCTCTAATAATTAGGAAGGATGACCATTTTTTCATGTGTTTGTTGGCCGTTCTATGGCTTTTGATATCTGCTTTATATCCGGCACTGTAGATACCAAGATAATGAGGAAAGTGCCCTCCCTTCAAAATTCATATTTTAGCACAATCACAAATAAACTGAGAGGTGTGATTCAGGTGATCCCTGCTGTTTTCATCAGTTTGAGATGCCCTAACAAAGTCCCCAAGACTGGGTAATTTATAAAGAACAGAAATTTATTACTCACAATTTTGGAGGCAGGGCAGTCCGTGATCAAGGCACGAGCAGTGTTGGTATGTGGTGAGGGCCTGTTCCTGTAGATGATGCTCTCTTTGTGTCCTCCCATGGTGGAAGGACAAAAAGAGCAAGAGGGGAGAAATAGTTCCCTTGCATCTCTTTTGCAAGTGCAGAGACCCCATGAGTTATTCATCTTATATGGTGGCATCCCTTGATACTGTTGCAGAAGGGATTTTATTTCAATATATCAATTTGAGAGAGAAACATTCCTCTCGGCACCTGTGGCTCAATCGGCTAAGGCGCCAGCCACATACACCTAAGGTGGCGGGTTCGAATCCCCAGCCCGGGCGCCAAACAACAATGATGGCTGCAACCAAAAAATGGCCGGGCGTTGTGGCAGGCACCTGTGTTCCCAGCTACTTGGGAGGCAGAGGCAGGAGACTCGCTTGAGCCTGGGAGTTGGAGGTTGCTGTGAGCTGTGATGCCACGGCACTCTACCCAGGGGGATAGCTTGAGGCTCCGTCTCAAAAAAAAAAGAAAAAATGAGAGAGAAACATTCAGAACATAAATGCTCCAGTGAAAACATGAATTTGATGTTGAGGAAACTCTAAGAGGACAGGACTTTATTGCTTAAGGGTACTACAAAGAGCATAAAGAGGAAATGAAATTTGACCTATGTTCTGAATGTAATATAAGAAAAGTGCATCTCAGCCAAAGGAACAGCATGATATAAAACAACACTGCAGTGTTCATTGGACAATGATGAAGATGTGTATGACTAGCACTGGTAACAGAGGGTGTGAAGAGTGGAAGAAAGATCATGGAATGTCAGACTTGGAATGGGACTCCTGAGAATCTGGGTGGGTGTTTCTTGAAAAATGTAAATAGAAACTCAAAACATCAAAATAGCTGTTTTAATAGAATACTATTTAATAAAGTACCTGACATGGAGTTGATACTTAATAAATATTTGTTGTGGCAGTGTCTGTGGCTCAAGGAGTAGGGTGCCAGCCCCATATCCTAGAGGTGGTGGGTTCAAACCCAGCTCTGGCCAAAAACTGCAAAAAAAAAAAAAAAAAAAAAAAAATTTGTTAAATGCATGGTGCCCCGAGGATGAGATCTTAGGTAGTCAGAAAACATGTCCATTCTTTGTTCATTTGCCTACACAATCTCCTTCCTTCCAAGAATTCATAAAAAAGTTATTATCCTCGTTATTCTAGTCACAAATAATAGTTTTCACAGTTGTTGCTACACAGAAGGAATAATTACCCTTTCTGTTGTTATTTTTAGGAAAACGGATTTGTGCAGGAGAAGGACTGGCCCGCATGGAACTGTTTTTGTTCCTGACCTCCATTCTACAGAACTTTAACCTGAAATCTCTGGTGGATCCAAAGGCTATTGACACTACTCCAATTTTCAATGGATTTGCTTCTCTGCCACCCTTTTACCAGCTCTGTTTTGTTCCTGTCTAACGCAGAGCACATGGTGTGGCTGCTGCTGTGCTGGCCCATGTGTCATTTACCTCCTCCCCAGTATCAGAGATGCTTTCTCTGACCTCTGTTCTTACATCTCCACATTCCCTCTGGATTCAGTTGGCATCATAGCTCATTTTAAGAGAATTTCATGAGTTTCACTACTCAAACATACCTACTAGAGTAGGAATAGTCTATAACCTTCATATTGATTTCCACATGTAATAAACCTTACCTAATATTGAGTTACTAATGCTGTCACTGTAAAACAGAGAAAATGATGAGTGTATGATAATTCAGACTTATTTTCCTGCACATTCTAAAGATATGTCATTATTATTTGTCGGATGAGTTTTCAGACTTTCTTTCTTTTGTGCACAAGGCAAGTAGAATATAAATGGAAATAAAGTCCCAGGAGGCCATGTTCATTCTCAAAATGATAGACAAAGAGAAGGACATAGGAGAAGAAGGTAGAGAAGGTCTCTTGGCTGAGTGTCTCCTAAAGTTACTAGAGGTTTGTATTTGAAGGAAAATCTGTGTCCAGAAGCAACTCCAAACTGTAAGGAAATATTGGTAAGATCAGTGATAAGGAGAAATTAGCCCTATGTACTAGAATTGATGAACTTGCTTTGGTATTGCTGTGGCATTAATACAAAGTGGAATTAATTTCTTCTAAATAAAGATGCAGATAATTTTTATTACTTTCAGTTTACAAGATTGGAAACATGCTTTCATGTCGCTACTCACATGTTCTGAGTGATACTCTTTTCTCCCCAAACACAAAGAAAATCCATGAAAGAAATTCCTAGGTTTTATTATTTTCCATTTCCACTATGTTCTTTTACACTTAACATAAGTTTTATGGTCATTCGATGGTGTGAAGTCCTTAGCCTCATGTTGCCTCCAAAGCAGAGTCAAGAGGACAACTTAACACTCCAAATTATACTCATCTTTTTTTATGTCTTCCTGAAGTGTATGACTTGAGCATTGATGCCATTTGTTACCCCTTCTCTCAGCTTCTTTATCAGAAGAAGTGACTGAAATTTCGAAGAGATTTTAAAGACATCCAAACCTATATGTGTATGTAACTATATATTAACACTATATGAAATATAATTTCTGTGTACTTAGACATGGGGTTAACTGATTATTTATAATATGTGCTCTTACAGTACATATTGTATTACAACTTGCTGATTTTCTACTTAGCTTTATACCAAGAAAACTTAGCAAATTATTCAAATAGATTACAGAAGAGAAAATGGAAATGGTTATGACATGGATGGAATGATCCAAATTAAAATTACACATTGTATGTTATCAAGCTTCTTAATTGACACGTAAAGTCAATTATGTAGTGTTAGCAAAGGTAGAAGCAAACACATATAGGTGAGATAAATTGAAGGAATTGGCATGCTGCTTCCTTCTGGAGGCTCTAGGGGATAATCTAATTTCCTATTTATTTTTTTCTAAGGGCTGCCTGCTTTCCTTGGCACATGAACTCTTCTTCGCATCACTCCAGATCCTATTCCCCATAGTCGCACCTCCTACTCATTGTCATACCTACTACTAACTCGTATCCTCTTCCTTCTCTCTTCTGAGCACTCTTGTGATTACATTGAGCCCACTTGGATAATCCAGATAGATCTCCTCATGTCAAGGCATTATTCAGCCAACCATATTACTATTATGCTCATTTTAACAACCCGAGGACAAAGCAGATGCTCAGTGAAGTGTAGAAGGTAGATATGCTGAATTCCTCATGGACCTTCCAAGTCAGGGGAATGTCTGCATGACTATCCCTGCATTAGGAAATCAGCAGTGCAGGTGAGCTGAGATCATTAATTAGTAGCTTACGCTAGAGAGGCTGAGATATCTGCCTGAGGAGATAAGACTTGCTCTCTCCACTCTGTCTCCCACTTGCACTGTTATCTGGCTGCTTCAGATGTTCCATTACCCCATGTCCCTGCTTACCCTTTACTCAACCTTCCTGGGATCTGTAATCTCCCCCTTCTCATTCTTAACCTTGAATGCTGACTACTGACCTCTGTGCATTCTTGCATGTATACTCTGTTATGTACCCAATAAAAAGATTCTGGGAAGCAAGGCAGGTTGCTGCATTGTTTTCATGTTGCAACTAGGCATATGAAACAGTGTATACCCTTACAGGCTTCCATGTTTTGTGCACTAAGTTTGGTCAGCACCATTTCCCTTGTTGACCTCTGCCCCAGGTTGGGGTCCACTAGTGAAGTATATGATTGAAGCCTGTGGTTTTAGACCACACAAGGTTTTTTTTTTTTTTTTGAGTATTTAAAAATTTTTTTTTCAAATTAATATGATGGTACAATTTTTAGGTTACATTGTTCTCACTTCCAGCATAAAGTTTCATTTGTTGAAGAGTCCTTCACTCGGGGGCGTGTTATACACCCCCACAATGTGCACATTAGGTGAGATCCTGCCTCATGTCCTCCCCCCTTCTTCCAAACATCCTCCCCCCACCCCTACTTCCCTCTGCACCTGAACTGGACAATGTTAGCATCTTATTGTTTTTATGAGCATGTAATTTTTTTATATATTGGTTTCATATTAGTATGGAGTACATTGGATATTTATTTTTCCATTCTTGTGATACTTTACTAAGAAGACTGTATTTCAACTCCATCCAGGTAAACAAAAAAGATGTAAAGTCTCCATCTTTTTTAATGGCTGAATAATATTAAATGGTATATATACCACAGTTTGTTGATCCATTCATAGGTTGATGGGCACTTAGGTTGCTTCCACAACTTGGCAATTATGAATTGAGCTACAATAAACATTCTAGTGCAAATGTCTTTGTGGTAAAATGATTTCTGTTCTTCTAGGTAGAGACCTAGTAAAGGAATTACAGGGTCAAATGGAAGGTCTACTTTTAGATCTTTGAGAATTCTCCATACTTCTCTCCAAAAAGTCTGTATTAGTTTACATCCCACCAATATTGTAGAAGTGTTCCCTTCTTTCCCTATCCATGCCAGCATCTGGTGTTTTGGGACTTTGTGATGTGGGCTAATTTTGCTGCGGTTAGGTAATATCTTAGAGTGGTTTTGATTTGCATTTCTCTGATGATTAAAGATGATGAGGATTTTTTCATGTGTTTGTTGGCTATTTGTCTGTTATCTTCAGAGGAATTTCTGTTCAAATCTCTCACCCACTTATAGAGAGGATTGTTTGCACTTTTCTTATTGTTTAATTTGAATTTGCTGTAGATTCTAGTCATCAGGCCTTTGTCAGATTCATAACATGCAAAAATCTCCTATTCAGAATGCTGTCCATTCAATTGGTTTGTGGTACCATTAGATGTACAAAAGCTTTTTAGCTAGATCAACTCCAGTTACTTATTTCTGATGTTGCTACAATTGCTGGGGGGGGGGGGTGTCTTCCTCATAAGGTTTTTCCCAAGCCAATATCTTCAAGTGTTTTCCCCACACTCTCTTCTAGAATTTTTATTGTTTTGTGTCTTAAATTTAAATCTTTTATACAAGGAGAATCAATTTTTGTCAATGGTGAGAGGTGGGGGTCCAGTTTCAGTCTTCTACATGTGGATAACTAGTTCTCCCAGATCCATTTGTTAAATAAGGATTCTTTTCACCATTGCATGTTTTTGTTAGGCTTATCAAAGATTGTCCTTTGACAATAAACTTAGCCAGGAAGAAATAGATCTCCTGAACAGAACAATTTCAAGCACTGAGATCAACGAAACAATAAAAAAATCTCCCAACAAAAATATGCCCTGGTCCAGATGGCTTCACATCAGCATTCTATCAAACCTTCAAAGAAAAGCTTATTCCCATACTGCAGAAATTATTCCCAAAAATTGAGGAGGAAGGAATCTTATCCCAAGACGTCCTATGAAGTAAACATCACCCTGATACCAGAACCAGGAAAAGACCCAACTAAAAAGGAGAATTTCAGACCAATTTCACTAATGAATATAGATGCAAAAATTCTCAACCAAATCCTAGTCATTAAAAAACTCATACATCACGATCAAGTAGCTTTCATCCCAGGGATGCAAGGCTGGTTTAACACACACAAGTCCATAAACATTATTCACTGAATCAACAGAAGCAAAAACAAAGACCATATGATACCCTAAATAAGTGCAGAAAAAGCATTCGATAAAATCCAACATCCTTTTCTAATTAGAACACTGAAGTGTATAGGCATAGGTGGCACATTTCTTAAACTGATCAAAGCTATCTATGGCAAACCCACAGCTAATATTTTACTGGATGGAGTAAAACTGAAAGCTTTTCCTCTTAAACCTAGAACCAGACAAGGTTGTCCTCTGTCGCCATTACTATTCAACACAGTGCTGGAAGTTCTAGCCAATACAATTAGGCAAGACAAGGAAATAAAGGATATCCAAATGGGGGCAGAGGAAGTGAAACTCTCCGTCTTTCCTGACGATATGATCTTATACTTAGAGAACCCCAAAGACTCAACCACAGGACCCTGGAAGTCATCAAAAAATACAGTAATGTCTCAGTGTATAAAATCAATGTCCACAAATCAGTAGCCTTTCTATACACCAACAACAGCCAAGATGAGAGGCCAATTAAGAACACAACTCCCTTTACCATAGCTTCAAAGACAATGAAATACCTAGGAATATACCTAACAAAAGAGCTGAAGGACTTCCATAAAGAAAATTATGAAACCCTAAGAATTGAAATAGTAGAGGATATTAACAAATGGAAGAACATACCATGCTCATGGCTGGGAAGAATCAACATTGTTAAAATATCTATACTTCCCAAAGTAATCCACCAATTCAATATCATCCCTATTAAAATACCAACGTTATACTTTCAAGACTTGGAAAAAATTATTCTTTGTTTTGTATGGAACCAGAAAAAAAAAAAAAAAACCCGTATAGCTGAGGCAGCTCTTAGTAATAAAAACAAAGCTGGGGACATTAGCATACCAGATTTTAGGCTGTATTACAAGGCCATAGTGGTCAAGACAGTATGGTACTGGCACAAAAAGAGAGACATAAGTATTTGGAATCGAGTAGAAAACCAGGAAATGAAACTAACATCTTACAACCATCTAATCTTTGATAAACCAAACAAGAACATATACTGGGGGAAAGACTCCCTAGTCAATAAATGGTACTGGGAGAACTGGATATCCCCATGTAAAAGACAGAAACTTGTCCCACACCTTTCTCCACTCACAAATTTAATTCAAGATGGATAAAGGACTTACATTTAAGGCATGAAACAATAAAAATCCTCAAAGAAAGCATAGGAAACACATTGGAAGATACTGGCCTGGGAAAAGACTTTACAAAGAAGACTGCTGTGGCAATTGCAACAGCAACCAAAAAGAAACAAATGGGACTTAATGAGACTGGAAAGCTTCTGTACAGCTAAGGCAACAACAACCAAAGCAAATAGACAATCTATACAATGGGAAAGGATATGTGCATATTTTGAATCAGACAAAAGCTTAATAACTAGGATCTATAGAGAACTCAAATTAATCCACAAGAAAAAAGCCAACAATCTCATATATCAATGGACAAGAGAGATGAATAGAACCTTCTCTAAAGCAGACAGAGGAATGGCTAGCAAATATATGAAAAATGCTCACCATCCCTAGTTATTAGAGAAATGCAAATCAAAACCACCCTGAGATATCATCTAACTCCAGCAAGAATGGCCCATA